GGCGGGGAGCAGCAGCTCATTTGCATTTAAAGAGACATGCTCTAATACAGCGTGTTTCTGCTTCCACTCAAAATAGGCATTTTCAAAATTATATAATAAATGATCTGTGCCGTATTTTGAGCTAAAACTTCACAGCTACATTCTGGGGACCCCTGAGACTTATATTACATATTGTAAAAAATGTGTCAATATGTCACCTTTAAAGCAACTATATGCAAGAAATATCCGTTTCAAAATCATCATGGGGGCTTTGAAGTTGCACAAAAATGCACACAACTACATACAGTTGCTTAAACCAGAACTGGGGAACAAACAAAGTTCATTAGGAGCAGCTTGCCAGCGGTGGCTGTTAAACACCTTTGATTTAGAAATGTCCTTTCTAAAATAGCCTACTGCTTATGTACATTCACCAAGTCTTCCAGTTTCATCTGGATTTACGAAAATAATTTTAATTTTAGGAAGTGTTCTGAACATTTTAACAGTGCATCAGCTACTGACGAACACATTCATTTGTATTTGAATTCTCACTCAGTGAGTTATTTAACATGCATTAATATGTCTTTTTTAATAAACACATTAAAATGCACAAATTCACATTATTTCTTATTTACATGTAACGCAAGGGTTCACAAACTTTTTTTTGCTATCCAAACCTCTTTTACCTAATATACCCACATGAAGTACCCCTGCAATTTTAAGGTAGTATGTTCATGTTCACGGTCATTGGTTAATGGTCACATGACCTGCAGGTAAACAAAATATTTCATCTTTTTTTAGTAAGTCTTTTATTTTCATTGTTATATTAAAATTAATTATTTCATGTTGTTTTTTCAAAACTTAATTATTATCTTTTCATTAAACCCTGCAGTTTCTTCACAAAACCTTGACGAAACGTCATGTTTAACGCACTTCATGTTGTTAGTAACAATGAATGGCCATATAGCTAATTTAAAAAATATGACATTCGAATTGAGATACCAAAAGTCAATAATGAATTTGAAATTCCATTTAGGTTTTATCTGCTAGTGGGAAACAAAACTGCTCTTAATGCGTTAAATTCATAGCCTCAGGATGAACAGTGCCTTAAATACAATATCAATCAAGGCAAATTCTGCACAGATAATCTGTGCCTTGCAGCGCACACAAATCACACAAGCAGCAGCAGAGAAGCATTTAATGGTCTGTGTGCACAGGACCTAATAGCTCTCGTTAAAATATGCAGTTATGGGAAGACACTGAATTTTCACTTTAAGACACAATGATTCGCTAAGTGCTTCGTTACCATTAGTCATTATCTTAATTTGTCTTTATTCAAACATGCACTTGGGCTCCACTGGGTGGCACAAACCGCAATCTTCAACAAAAGCAAACTAAGACTAAAATGAATTATATGAATAAATTAGTCTGTACTGGTCAAACTCCATGACAGGGACATGTGCTATTTTATATCACACCTGTACTGTTCACAAATACCTAGCCTTAAAGTTTTAGATTGACACTGTAAATGCTTGGGCCATCGAGTGCTTTATGAAATTATGCAACCATTCTCTTCTAATGCATGGATGAAAACCACCTGATGATGGCGAAGTTTGTGGAAAAAAAACAACATGAAAATAAGCTTATGTTAAAAAAAAGTTACAAGATAAACACACTTTCTGTCTTCTGACACATTCCTGCTCTGTCCTAGTAATAATACTGTATGTATTATTAAATTATGTACTATGAAAACCTCCTGAAACTATAACTACATACACTCTAAAAAATGCTGGGTTGTTTCAACCCAACTTTGGGTCAAATTTGGACTAACCCAACTTTTGGGTTAAAAATGTAATGTAAAAATTTAACCCAACAGTTGGGTTAGTCCAAATTTGACCCAAAGTTGGGTTGAAATAACCCAGCATTTTTTAGAGTGTACTGGACCCGACAGAAAACCCAGGAAAAACTGCTATGGCTCATTTTTAATGTGCAAAATGGATGTTTACATAAAATTCCTAAAAGCATAGTCGCCAGTTTAACTGTAAGGTTTAGAGCAGGGTTATTATATTTAGATAACTTGCGTTACTTGAAATTTAAAAAACATTTGAGAAAATGGTTGCATAGGCAACATTTCTTAGTTTAAATTGGTTTAACTTGATGTACTAAAATAACTAAAACTGAAAAAAAAGAAGAAAAAAAACTATAAAGACATACAGCAAACAAAATGCAAAAAAAAAGAAAAGAAAACAAAAATACTAAAACTTTAACCAAAAATAAATTGAAAAGGGAAGATATAAAAATAAAAAATTAATAAATAAACATGAATTAAAAGTATCTCAATGATACTAAAACAATGCTGGTCTAGACAGTGAACAATGGTCACAAAACACCAACACGATAAAATAAGCACTGTGCTAAACACCATTACCTCAGGAGAGTAAAAATACACTATATTCAATAAATAATGCTTCTAATTTTGGTGCATTGATGGGAATGGTTTAAGAAACCATTGTGGTGAATCAATTTTTCTCTTTGCGGACACAGTGTTATAGTTCAGCCAGGAGTTTGAGGTCAGTGCAGTTAAAGTGACGAGCAAATGAAACACAAACTTCCAAACTGCATTCGCACCCAGAGCAGATGCATGCATGACAAAACGCATCACAATGAATCTAAAAAGCAATATTGACACAAAACTTTGGGGGAAAGGTCAGTCGGCGCTTAATATGCAGCACGCTTCCCAAAATGAAGTCAAACACCTGCCAAGACACGACTCACAGCCAATCAAAACAGCCGTTGCCATGGTGACCACCGTGTTCGGCACGCCGCTCAGGTTCAACATGTGTCCCGACATCTGGTTCAGGCCGTCCACCGCATATTTAAACATGAAGGGCACCATAATGTTGGTTATCTGGAGGACAAGCAGAAAAAAGGAGAGGTTGATGTGAGCACGCCAAATGTTTTTCTTGGTTCCTGAGTGCACTGATGGGCAGAGAGGCATTAACAGCCTCCTGCAGACACAGCTCAAAATGAGTTGCTTGATGCATCCACTAATGGAACTGAAATGGTTATTAAAGATAATTAAAAGCTAGCGGACAGCTGCTGGGTCGTGCCAATAAACAGCGGCGCATTAGCCGGGCGATATTTCCCTTGAATCTGGCACCACTTTTGCTCACCCCTTTCATCGTGTGTGACTCATTTTAGGTGAATGGCACATTTCTACAGCACTCGATGATGAATCTTGAGTGAATCTCATGAAACTCGTGTCAAGAACATGTCCTGGTCATATTTCACCCTGAAAAGCCCAGTGAGATGTTTTGCACTGGGACATTTTTCATGACAATTAAGCACATTTTCTACCAGAATTTCCAAATTGTTTGTTTGTTTGTGTGTGTTTAACGCCATTCCAGCTTCTGTGGCTATTTTCATGGCGAGAAATATTATGGCTGAATTATATCATGTTTAATTTATTTCCATTTATTTTTGCTAAAAAACTACAAAACTGTATTTGGCTCAACTCTGTTAAGAATCTCTTCAAAAGAGTTTCTCAATGAGTTCAAACCAGCACAATCTAAGAAAACATGCTTAATGGATGCTTAACGGAGAGAACATGTTCAATTTCCAAATAACTATTATGCAAAAAAATATAGATTGCGATGAAATTAAACACACTAAAAAGGGCTTTCTAAGAAAAAATAAATAATTTAGAAAATGAACTGCGTATGCAGAGATTTTAGCTGCTTCCTAACGAGAGAATGGCTGCTGTGCTTATGGACAACACTCTCCATGTATAGACCACTTGCCTTTAGATCTGAGAAAAGCAGTTTTGTCAAGTCAAGTCAAGTCACCTTTATTTATATAGCACTTTTAAGAATACAGATTGTGTCAAAGCAACTGAGCAGCATTAATTAGGAAAATAGTGTGTCAATAATGCAAAATGACAATAGTAAACATTCATTTTTCAGTTAAAGGCAGTTCATCATTGAATTCAGTGATGTAATCATCCAGCTCAGTTCAGTTTAAATAGTGTCTGTGCAATAAGTTGCAATCAAGTCAACGATATCGCTGGAAATGAAGTGTCCCCAACTAAGCAAGCCAGAGGCGACAGCGGCAAGGAACCAAAACTCCATCGGTGACAGAATGGAGAAAAAACCTTAGGAGAAACCAGGCTCAGTCGGGGGGCCAGCTCTCCTCTGACCAGACGAACCAGCAGTTCAATTCCAGGCTGCAGCAAAGTCACATTGTGCAGAGGACTCGTCTGGCTCCTGTGGTCTTGTCCCGGTGGCCGTCTGAGACAAGGTCTTTACTGGGGATCTGTCTCTGGGGCTCATCTAGTTGTCCTGATCTCTGCTGGCAATCAGGGTTGTAGAGGTCCTCTCTAGGTGCTGATCCACCATCTGGTCTGAATACGTACTGGATCTGGGTGACTGCAGTGACCATCTGATCTGGATACAGACTGGATCTGGTGGCTACGGTGACCTCGGAATAAGAGAGAAACAGACTAATATTAGCATAGATGCCATTCTTCTAACAATGTAGCAAGTACATCGGGTGTTTGTGCATTGGCTAAGGCTTCCTTGGGGGGAAAAATAAAACTATGATTTCTAAAGTATCACGTGACACTGATTAAAATTCAGCTTTGCATCAAAGAAATAAATTATACTTTAAAGTACATTAAAAATGACTTCTTTCAAAAAAATCTTACAGACCACAAACGTTCACACTGGTGCCAAGCCACCCATTTAGTTGAGCCCTGCATGGTGCTTATAAATGCATGGTCATTCATGCTGTTTTAAATTAAACTGAATTGTACATATGTTAAAATACATTGAAAATTATCAGAGAAAAACATAATTGGAAAACAATCCTGAAGCTAAACTGTCTGAATGAATTCTGTCCTTTACTCAACCTCATGTCGTTCCAAATCTGTATGACTTCTGTGTAACACAAAGATTATACGACAAACGCTGGAGCCCGAAGCACACTGGACACCACTAGCTTTCATTAGAACTGCAAAAAAAAAACATTTCAAATAAATTAATTTTGTGTTTTCCACAGAAAAAAGACAGTGCAGCTTTGCTTTTACGGGAAGTAATGTCACCGCAAAGCAAAGCAGAGATGCGTAACGTACTAATTACTGCACTGAAGCTTCATTTGTGGAAGATAAAAATGAGCTGCCAACACCTCAGTGATACTGTGGCTTTTCAAACAGCACGCATCCATAGCAATGCCCTTTTCCAAGTGACTCTGAACCGGTTTTAGTTACACACAAGACCTCAAACGCACGGCATGAGCCAAACAAAACCTGTCTGTAAGCAAGGTTTGATAAGCTTTCTCTTTTGGTTCAATAATAGTGGACGATTCCCTCCATGTTGAATTCTGTGCCACGGGACGATGACAGAGGTCAGACTGGCTAATACATAAGTGAGTTATCCATTTATGAAGCCCTCATCAGTCTTTATTTAACACTACACTCTTAAAAATAAAGGTGCTTCACGATGCCATAGAAGAACCTTTTTGTCTAAATGGTTCCATAAAGAACCTTTAACACCTGAAGAACCTTTCTGTTTCACAAAAGGTTGTTTGTGGCGAAAGAAGGTTCTTCAGATTATAAAAAGGTAAGAAAGAGATGGTTCTTTAAAGAACCTTTGACTGAATGGTTCTTTGTGGAACCAAAAATGGTTCTTCTATGGCACCGCTTCAAGAACCTTTTGAAGCACCTTTATTTTTAAGAGTGTACCGGTCAAAAGTTTGGGATGAGAACGTTTTTTTTTTACAGGAGTCTCTTCTGCTCATCAAGGCTGCATTTATTTGATCAAAAATGCTGGAAAAAATTTTATATTGTGAAATATTATTACAATGTAAAATAATGTTTTTTTTCTATTTTGATATACATTAAAATCTAATTTATTCCTGTGATGCGCAGCTGTATTTCCAGCATCATTACTGCAGTCTTCAGTGTCACATGATCTTCAGAAATCAGTATAATATGCTGATTTATTATCAGAGCTGGAAACTGTTGCTGCTTCATATTGTTTTGGAATCCGTGATACGTTTTTCAGGATTCTTTGATGAATAAAAAGATAAAAAGAAGAGCATTTCTTTCAAATAGAAATCTTTTCTGACAATATACACTACCGCTCAACAGTTTGGGGTCGGTACATTTGTATTCTTTCTTTTTTTGAAAGAAATTAAAACTTTTATTCAGCGAGGATGTGTTCAATTAAGAAGTGATAGCAAAGATTTATGTCGCTAGAAAATATTTATATTTTGAATAAATGCTGTCCTTTTTAACGTTTTATTCATCAAAGAATCCTGAAAAAGAATCGCAGTTTCCAAACAAATATTGTGCAGCACAGCTGTTGATAATTCTAATCATAAATCAGCATATTAGAATGATTTCTGAAGATCATGTGACGCTTTACACTGGAGTAATGATGATGGAAATTCAGCTTTGCATCACAGAAATACATTATATTTTAAAGGATATTAAAATAGAAACCATTATTTTGTATTGTAACAACATTTTGCAAGTATACTTTTTTTTCTGTATTTTTGATCAAATAAATGCAGCCTTGATGAGCAGAAGACACTTCTTTAAAAACATTTCAAGTCTTACTGATCCCAAACTTTTGAGCAGTAGTGTATGTCCCACAATGACACACAGCTGAGTTGGTCTCCTTAGATTTGGTTTATACATCTGGTTACTTTAACACACACACTGTAAGATTAAACACATATTAACAGAGTTTCTGTTGTTGAAGTTTTTGTGGTTATCATCGTGGAGTTCAAATACTCTTCTGTGTAAATACATAACTTTGAGAACTGGGGGAAACATAAATATATAAGAAACTGCATAAACTCAAAGCATATGTTAAATAGATTTTCATTAATTATGCGGATAAGGCACACATGGGCGAGAAATCCCACAATGACACACAGCTGAGCTGGTCTCCTTAGATTTGGTTTATACATCTGGTTACTTTAACACACACACTGTAAGATTAAACACATATTAACAGAGTTTCTGTTGTTGAAGTTTTTGTGGTTATCATCGTGGAGTTCAAATACTCTTCTGTGTAAATACATAACTTTGAGAACTGGGGGAAACATAAATATATAAGAAACTGCATAAACTCAAAGCATATGTTAAATAGATTTTCATTAATTAAATGTCTGAAATGTACTTGAAAAACGAGTGCAAAAGCTTAAGGGAAAAAAAGGAAATTGTGTGCAGACCAGTACAAGGGGCCTAGAAAAAGTACCACACCAAAAACAAAAACACACTTTCAATCGGGAAAAAAAAGATTTTTCCTTGTTATTTCTAGGATATCAGCAAAGTAAATAAGTGAAATGTCATCAGCCGGTCATTTGCACTGAGAAGATCACACAAGCTGATGGGGGGGGGGGGGGGGGGGGGGGATTTCTCTCCTATGGGAGAAGGTGTCAAAAAAACAAACCAAAAAACATTAAAAAAACATTAATTTTCTGGGTGTAAATTGGTGCAGACAGAAAAGAAAAATAACTTAGAAATAATGTGACAAAATGGTTTGTTCAAATTTTTCAAATTTCACTTGATCTTCTGACATGCATGGGTTCAACAACACTACACACATAAACTTGTTTCAGAACTCAAAACTTCCTTCTCACTGGAAAAAAAGAGCATTTATTGAAAACAAGCAGCAAAACATCTCCAGAACATCAGGATGCACATTGTTTTTAAATAATGGGACGGTTAAAAACTGTGGGATTTTATGGTATTCTGGAGCACGCGAACTGATTAGTGTTATATTAGTCACCTTGTTCATGAGCTAGTCTTTCAAAATGCAAATGCAATGATGTAAGCTAATCAGAGGAGTGGGAGAAAAGTCTTAAAGGAGAAGCAGCTCCAAAACAGATCATTTCATTCACATGCTCAATGCAAGGATGTAAAATGCTCATACATTACTAAATTATGACATGAATTATTTAAAAAAAGCCTTTTAAATTATAAGTGAAAACAAAATCATTAAAAAGGTCCTTAGCGTACATTGCTTCTACTCGTATTAATATTTAATTCATATTTTAGTTCAGCATGTATTATGAACAATTGCAGCTTTGTTTTAACTTCTGTGTGTGCAGAACGTAATCAAAGAATCTGAGGTGGTATGGAAGCCCAGGTTTCTTTGACAGTGGCCTTCAGCTCATCTGCATTTTTTGGTCTCTTGTTTCTCATCTTCCTCTTGACAATACCCCATAGATTCTCTATGGGGTTCAGGTCTGGTGAGTTTGCTGGCCAGTCAAGCACACCGACACCATGCTCATTTAACCAACTTTTGGTGCTTTTGGCAGTGTGGCCAGGTGCCAAATCCTGCTGGAAAACTTATCTGTAATTGTTGGTATAAGCTATACAGTTGGCTAATATATTTTGCATCCAAAATTGGAAGCACTTCATATTAGCCAGTTCCAGCAGTACTGACAGACTTCATGTAAATACAAAAAAAAATGCATTTAGTTTTTTCCCCTGCAGACACACCAAAATCCCATTGTAACATTACACCCCGAAGCACAACATATCAAAATACAAACAGCCTAAACGTTACTCGTCACAGAGCTAGACCTGTATAAAAAGACAATGCCCCATTAAATGATATAGCGGTGGTATGATAAAGAAACGCACGTTGGCTCCAGCGAGGAGACCCAGTGAGATGGCCACTCGAGCGCGCAGGTCCGGTCTGTCCTTGGGCCTAACATACGTCAACATGGCCACCAGAACCTTAGAGGAGTTCACTTCCTTCAGCTGCCAAAAAGCAAAAAATATGCATTTTTAAAAGGGTTTCCAGAATAAAAATATAAATCTTTAAATAAATCAGAATAATGTGTGTGTGTGTGTGTGTGTGTGTGTGTGTACACACACTAGGGCTGGGAAATTAAATCGATGCATCGCGAATCGAGAAATGATTCCGCATCGATTCTGAGATTTTCCGAATGCATCGCGATTCTTTCTCTAGTCGATTCTGAGCTTAGTTTTGAACAGCAGATGGCGCTGTTTATCTGGCCTAAAATAATCATTCGTAAAAATCGAAAAGGTTGAAGCGAATTACAAGGGTGTTCATAGTGGGCTGTGTTTACATCAATCTCGCATCATAAAAGCATTCTGAGCCGAGGTGAAATTACAGACTCAGCCGAATGCACAAGCGCCCTTTAGCACTCTTCTTAATGAGCATTTCAGTGTGCGGATAAAAACTAGAGTAGAGCATCATCTGCTGTTAAAACCTAAGCTCAGAATCGATTCCAGAGAGAATTGCGATGCATTCGGAAGATCTCAGAATCCATCCACAAATCAATTCTGCATCGATTTATCGTCGCAGCCCTACACACACACACATATACAGTCATGGCCAAAAATATCGGCACCCTTGGTATATATGATCAAAGAAGGCTGTGAAAATTAATCTGCATTGTTAATCATTTTGAGCTTTTATTTAAAAAATTCACAAATATCTAACCTTTCATTGGATAATAAGAATTTAAAATGGGGCTAAATATTATGAAATAAATGTGTTTCTCAAATACACGTTGGACACAATTATTGGCACCCCTAGAAATTCTTGTGAGTAAAATATCTCTGAAGTATATTCCCATTCATATTTACAATTTTGAGCACTCCAGGGTGATTATGAGCATGAAATTATCCAGCCGTGACTTCCTGTTTCACAGAAATATAAATAGGAGGGAAAACAAAGGCCAGATTCCCTTAATCATCCATCACAATGAGAAAAAACAAAGAATATATTTCTGATGTGCAGCAAAAGATAATTGAGCTTCACAAATATTAGGGCTGCACGATAAATCGAAATGAAAAAATTAGGCAGGAGCTGCGATTTTTCAGCGTATCTTTCAGTGAAGCACAGTTCTGTGATCAGCAGTAAATCTCATATCGTCCTAATGCACGCTGAGGAGGAGAGTTTGAGTGGCTAAAGACTCTCCGAGGGCCACGGCTGGAGAATTGCAGAAAATAGTTGAGTCTCGGGGTCAGAAAACCTTAAAAAAAATCAAACAGCACCTACATCTCCACATGTTGTTTGGGAGGGTTTCAGGAGAAGAAAATGCTCTCATCTTGTTTAGATACAGTGACCAACTCTGTTAGAAATCTTATAATGGGCCATGTTTGGATCTCCCAACCGTACAATAATCCAAACACAAACCTCAAAAACAACACAAAAATGGGTCACTGAGCACAAAACCAAGCTTCTGCTCTGGCCATTCCAGTCCTCTGGGCTGAACCCTAGAGAAGATGAGTGGTGAACTGAAGAGGAGAAGCTGGGAATCTGAAGGGTCTGGAGAGATTCTGGATGAAGGAATGCTCTCTGATCTCTTGTCAGGTGCTCTCTAACCTCAGCAGGCATTACAGGAGAAAACTCAGAGCTGTTAAACTGGCAAATGGAGGTTTCAAAAAGTATTGAATAAAAGGGTGCCGTTAATTGTGGCCAATGTGTATTAGAGAAAACATTTCATAATGATATTTCATCCCCTTTTAAATTCTTATTATCCAATGAAAGGTTAGATATTTGTGAATTTTTTTAATAAAAGATCAAAAGGATTAACAATGCAGATTAATTTTCACAGCCTTCTTTGATCATATTTACTAAGGGTGCCGATATTTTTGGCCATGACTGTATATATATATATATATATATATATATATATATATATTAGGGCTGCACGATAAATCGAAATGAAAAAATTAGGCAGGAGCTGCGATTTTTCAGCGTATCTTTCAGTGAAGCACAGTTCTGTGATCAGCAGTAAATCTCCATCTGAAAGCCAGAGGGCGCTCTCGCGCTAGAAACCCAGGAAATCCCTACAGTGGTTGCTGGATAGAGTGGGGGAACTATGATGTCACTTTGTAGGCCAATCAGCTGTTAGCATTGCACTGGTTCCCTCCACAAAGAGCCAATAGAATTTCTCCATAGGCTTTTGGATTATCGCAAAAAAATATGTGTGTTCAATCATAGTTCATGAAACTTACACGTTTTGTCCATCATGATAATCTTCACAAAATAATATAACTTTTCTGAATTTTGAAGCCTTAAGAAAAGTGCCAGAACTTAAAAGCTAAACTTAGGCTATAAACGAACTACACCTCCACAGTCGCTCGCCTTCAACGTCACCACCACCACCTGCTTCTGACAACTTTTTCAAACTTATTTTTAACACGTTCAGTGAAAAGGATTTAGTCTGCATGTGAATTTTAATCCACGCTACATGAACCTTTTCATATAAACTGGAATCATTTCATAATGATATTTCATCCCCTTTTAAATTCTTATTATCCAATGAAAGGTTAGATATTTGTGAATTTTTTTAATAAAAGATCAAAAGGATTAACAATGCAGATTTATTTTCACAGCCCTTTTTGACCATATTTACCAAGGGTGCCAATAATTCTGACCACGACTCTGTATATATATATATATATATATATATATATATATATAAGGGCTGCACGATAAATCGAAATGAAAAAATTAGGCAGGAGCTGCGATTTTTCAGCGTATCTTTCAGTGAAGCACAGTTCTGTGATCAGCAGTAAATCTCCATCTGAAAGCCAGAGGGCGCTCTCGCGCTAGAAACCCAGGAAATCCCTACAGTGGTTGCTGGATAGAGTGGGGGAACTATGATGTCACTTTGTAGGCCAATCAGCTGTTAGCATTGCACTGGTTCCCTCCACAAAGAGCCAATAGAATTTCTCCATAGGCTTTTGGATTATCGCAAAAAAATATGTGTGTTCAATCATAGTTCATGAAACTTACACGTTTTGTCCATCATGATAATCTTCACAAAATAATATAACTTTTCTGAATTTTGAAGCCTTAAGAAAAGTGCCAGAACTTAAAAGCTAAACTTAGGCTATAAACGAACTACACCTCCACAGTCGCTCGCCTTCAACGTCACCACCACCACCTGCTTCTGACAACTTTTTCAAACTTATTTTTAACACGTTCAGTGAAAAGGATTTAGTCTGCATGTGAATTTTAATCCACGCTACATGAACCTTTTCATATAAACTGGAATAAATACAAAACTAGAGCCAAACAAAAACTGAAATGAGACATTAATAATAAATAGTATAGTGAATAAATTAACTAAAACTAATCATAACTAAAAGACATATGAAAGCACACATTTCTGTACATTTCGAAATAAAAGTGAATAAATCTTTGATTAATATGAATATTTTAATTAAAAATGTCTCGACGTACTATTCAATAAAATTCTAGTGCATTTAATCTATAAAATTACAGCAGAGTGAGCGAGTTTTTGGATATGGTAAGATTAAACTTATTTTAGAGAATAAAGATCCACATTTTAGCTATCGTTTTGTTAGGGAGGGTACACAAAATGCTATTTTATCCTTGCTTCTAGAAAATCCTCAATCTATATGCTTCGTAACAGCTTCATGTGGACGTAAACATTTAATTTTAATGTGGCTTTAAGCACTATGCATCGTTAAAGTTTCACTTTTTATGTCGTAGAATGAAATG